TTGCCAAGCTCTCTCTCTCTCTCTCTCTCTCTCTCTCTCTATTCTCTCTCTCTCTCTCTCTAGCTTCACACACGAATAAACCCTTAATTTATTGGAGCTTCAACAAGTAACATAAAACTATCCACTGGATAATTTTTATTTACCAACTATCTAATGAATTTAAACTTGAGTGTATATATATATATGTTAAGTTGATGGAATCCAAAAAGATAAATAAATAAAACAGTATTTTCTTTTTTTTTAAAGAGATCAATGAAGGATAACTAATTAGTTTAGCCTTCGTATCACGTGTCTCAACAACCAAATTTAAGGGTTCACCAAAGAATCATGTTACTCTTTTTTTTTTTAATCTTATTTTCTGTAAATTGCAAGAAACACCCTTAACCTACACTCTTTTTTTTTTTCAAGAAAACATCTAACGTCTACTAATTGTTAACCCCTTCTTCATCTATTAACAATTTTGTAAATTTGTAAATAAATGCAATCAATTCATCACATTCATAAAGAACGCGGCCAAATTTAAATTTGATCCTCTCGCGTTTATCACAAAGTTTATTCTGAAGCTGTTTAAGAAACTAATGCTTTTAATTATAGATTAGATAAGGGGTCACTGTGTTGAACTTAATAGACGAGGGGGTCTCTCAAAAATCTGGGTATAGATAAAATATATATTTTTTGAAATTACCCCTTTATTTTTACGGCTTATTTAATTTCAACTACTCATTCTTGTCATTTCTATTTTTGAATTATAAATGGGTTTATTTTTTGAACTGGACTCGAGTAAAAAAATATTTGGTATTTCTTCCATAATTCCATCTGTTCTTTCGTAATTGGCTGAGATTCATGCATGCAGTATTTAACCAAGATGTATTATCCCATTTGAAAACCCAAAAAGTCAATCAATTCTGACAAAAAATAAACAATATTATCTTATATTATCATTAATCAATATTGTAATTGTTTAGTGTATATACTGTGTTTCCGTTAATTTATTTTAGATCAATTTTTCATATTAAGATGAAAGTCGTTAAGGGGGGGTTAGTCATCTAGAACTTAAAACTAGAACTGAGATAATTTGTGGGATAAATTTTTAAGGTGTTAGTCACATAGAACTAGGAAACGAGATATTTTTTTATAGTGTTAGTCAAGTAGAACTTTTGTAGAATTAGAACTGTATTATTTTTTTGGTGCGTTAGTCAAGTAGAATTCTACTAGAATTAGAATTGGGATAATTGGTCATAATTATCCCATAAATTATACTACCTATATATATATAACCATAAGTTCTCCTCTCTCAAATTATCCCACACATTGGAAAGAATACAATTGAGAAAAAAAAGTGAAACGCCACCTCCCTCCCTCTTGGTTAGTTTCTCCGCCTAGAAAATTTCTCTGCCATGAAGTTAATCATCCGTTCATTTTTCTGTCTTTACTTTGTTTTTGTGATGATTAGATCTTTTATTATTATCTTCAAGATGTATTACTTTATTGATAGCTTTTTGACGTTAAATTACTTTATTATTATTTGTTTGATCTAAGTTTTCTCTCCACAACAGTGGTTTAGGTTAAGAATATAGTGTTGGTGGGTTAGTGCTAAAGATATGCAGGCTATTTATGTTTTTTTTATAAGTTAGAAAGCAACTTTGCGATCACATTGATGATTAGATGTTGAATGATTAATGGTGATATCTATTATTATTAAATCGGCTCAGTAAATTGATTGGGATATTTATAGTTCATCTGTCGATCATCTGTTTAGCGGCCATGGATGATTCCTGTGTACATTTCATTTATTTGCTGATATGGTTTCAGCGATCATGATGAGATTGGTCCAAAGGGTTAATGGCTGAAAAATGCTTATTTTTCTTTCTTTATGATGTTATGAGATTTGAACTTCGACATTTATGATCCTCCGCTAGAAGCTCCACGAAATGTTCCTGATGCAGACGATGATTCCGATAAAGAAGACGAGTTACAGACTCAACGAGCAGTTATAGGAGCTTGGAGAAAATCTATGGCAGATGCCATGTGGGATGATAGAAGCCATGTGGGATGATGGAAGTCGAGTCACTCTAGGGATGATAGAAGCCATGTGGGATGATGGAAGTCGAGTCACTCTAGGGATTTAGATTTTTATTTATTTGTAAATTATTTTATTATTTGAGATGAATAGTGATGCTTTATTGCATTATATTTTATAGTTATTACTAGAATTTGCTTATCAATATTATTATATTTTATAGTTATTACTAGAATTTGCTTATCAATATTATATTATTTTTAATATACAATTATTAACGATGCTAATTTATACCCACCATTACCCTCACCAAATTTCCTACCAAATTATACAACTTCATAATATTATCCATCATTATCCCACCAAATTATCCTACCAAATTATCTCACTTTAAGAATTACCCATCATTGTTCTACTAAATTATCCTAGTGTTAAAATATTATCCCACTTTACCAATTATCCCAGTTCTACTTAAAAAGTTCTAGGTGACTAACCCCCCCTAAGAAAAACTGTGATAAGATTTTTTGGATGTCAATTCGATTTAAGAATCATTTCAATAATAAAGATAAATATAATGACCTCATACCTACCCTCTCAAAAATCTACAACATTTTTTTTTTAGAATAAAACTACAACAATTTAAAATTCTTTTCTTTGTACGATCTATTCAATTAAAAATTGTATGTTTAAATTCCATACTGTATTTCAAAAGATTGAATTAATAAACTACTTTCATCTTTTAAAAAAAAAACTAATTGCTTCCTAAATTCTTTTTTTTTAAATCTGGAAAAGAGTTTTTCCCCATGTTATGATTGTGTTGAGTTTTGGTGGTGGGCCCGTTCGTAGGAATTCTCTTGAGTGGATAGTGTAGTAGAGTTGAGAGCCATTTATGCCGTTCTGCAAATGGTTCGGTTTCCTTTCTAGTTGTAGCTAAGAGCATCTCCAACAGTTTCTCCAAAATTTTCTCCAAAATGGAGAAACAAAAGTCATATTCTCCAAATTATTTTTGCTCAAACTCCAACAGCTTCCCCATTTTAAAAAATCGCATTTATTACAATAATAAAGCTCTCCCCAAAAATTTGGAGAATGCTGCAGATTTGGGGAAGGCTCCTTATTTTTTCTCCTCCTTCCCTATTTTGAGGAATGGGATGGAGAATCTGTTGGACAAAAAAAAAAGCTCTATATTCCCCAAAATTAAGTATTTCAAGAAGATGGGGAAGCTGTTGGAGATGCTCTAACAATTTTAAGTCCTTGAAATCGT